GAAGTATCTATCAAAAAAATTTCAAAGAAAAATCTGAAATGGAAAACCTACAGAATTATTTAAAAAAAAAAATTTTATAATTAAAATTTCTTTGGAGAAACTTCCCCAATATTCTTTATATTTATCTCATTTTCAGCTCTTCCATTCAATCAACCAAAGTTTTGTCCAACAGCCACTTGGAATCCCACAGGAATTACCTTTGCTAATCAATCTATTGTTGGTCAAGATCCTTTCGCTATTTTTGTGAGCACAAACAATACAATCTATGTTGCTAATCAACAAAATAGCACAATTGTAATGTGGCAAGAAGAGAATATCAATCTAACAAAGATCATTACCGGTAATTTTACAGAACCTTGGTCTCTTTTCGTGACAACAAATGGTGATATTTATGTTGATGATGGTGAGAAGAATGGTCGAGTTCAGAAATGGAGTGTAGAAACAAATACTTTTGTCACGGTGATGAATGTTAACTCATTATGTTCCGGTTTGTTTGTCGATATCGATGATACTCTTTACTGTTCAATGTTTAATCATCAGCAAGTAGTGAAAAGATCATTAAATGATTTTATCGTGGCTTCAAACCGTGTTGCTGCTGGAACAGGTATTTACGGATCAGCCCCGAATCAGCTCTATGGCCCTGCTGGAATTTTTGTCGATGTAAATTTGGATTTATATGTGGCAGATTATTACAATGATCGAGTTCAGCTATTTCAGTCAGGAGAACCAAATGGCATTACAGTAGCTGGAAGTGGATCACTAAATTCAATAATTACTCTTGTTCGTCCAACTGGAGTAATATTAGATGCGGAGAAATATTTATTCATTGTAGATAGTAATAATCATCGCATTGTTACATCAGGTTTGAATGGTTTTCGATGTTTAGTTGGATGTGATGAAGAGGGTTCACAATCAAATCAATTGAATAATCCATATAGTTTGAGTTTCGATCATTCTGGAAATATGTTTGTTACTGATCAATCAAATCATCGAATTCAAAAATTTAAATATTTAAAAAGATATTGTGGTAAGTTGAAATATAATCGAACGAGATGATGAGATGTGAATGTTGATAGTGAAAAGCTGTATATAGTTTTCGCCAGAAGAATTTAAAATATGAAATTTCAATTGATTTTATTGTTCATTTAGTCAATACTTTCTCTGTTATCCAAAAGACCTATTCATCATCATTGACTAACAACAATCAAATGTATTATCGAGATTGTCAGAAGGAACTTTTTTATTATGAATCTATTCAAGTAAAGGTGAATAAAAGTGGTTACTACAGTTTTCGTGGTAGTGGTGACATTGATCCATATGGATCTATTTACAAACACAAATTTAAACCACTTGATCCATCGGAGAATTTGTTCGATCAAGATTATGCCCGTTACTCTAATATTCAGTTCAAATTTGATATTCTTCTTAATGTTGACATGACATACGTATTGGTTGTGACAACATTTGATTCAAAAGAAACTGGAAAATTTTTGATCGTTGTGTTGAGTGAAAACAAAGTTATTCTCGAGCGTCTTAGTAAGTATATAGATATTTGAGTAATGCATAGTACATCTTCTAGATTCAATTCCAACAGAATATCTATTCGTATATGTTGAAGGAGATGTCTGGAAATATTTGACCATCTAATGCTAAAAATCCAAAGAATATCTTGCTTTAACTAACTCAGCACTTTTATATTTCTATGACAAACTGATTTCAGAATACTCACTTAGAGAATGTGAATTTCCTAATCTCTATTTGTAAAATTAAATCTTCATAGAAAATCTCAAAAATTTCGCTTTTGTCGATGTTAGATCATAGTATCAAAATTCTATGAATTATTTGACTTTTTTTTATTGAACAGGTACTCCCGTAAATATTCAATTAATATATTCATCAAAATTAACTGATAATAGCCCAACATATTATCGAGATTGTCAAGTACCGCAATGTCATTATGAAACTCTACAAATTCATGTTAATACAACGGGTTTGTATGTTCTTTGGAGTGAAAATAATATTAAAGCATATGGATATATCTACAAAAATGATTTCAATCCTCTAAGACCATCTGAAAATTTACTTCTATCACATGACGGTAAATGTAATGATGGAAAATTCAAGTTAATCATCGATCTCGAGATTAACACTCGATACATATTAGTTGTGACAACACGCGATCCTAAGATAATTGGGAACTTTTCAATTTTTATCTCTGGACCAAACAATATCAGTCTTAGTCCTTTCTGTAAGTATTTATATGATTTTTTCTATAACAAATATATGCATAAAACATTTGAAAAGTAGATTAGTTATATATTTTCATTAATGAATAACTGTTATCTTGAATGTTGCTACTTACATCTTTTTAAATCCTTGTGGATGTTAAGTTTTCGAGGACTTGAAATCTTGGTTATTCTCTTTTCAAAATTTATCTGATATTTTAGGTCCAAAACAAAGTAGTTGTGTGATTGGTGATCAATGTAACTTTTACATCAAAGGAATTGGTTTGACTCTCGATGATATTTTACGCGATGAACTTCAACTAAATACAGTGTTGAATAATCAGTCATTTTCGATTAAATTAAGTGCGGGTTTAACAATAGTTATGTTCATCGCAGGATTAATCAATAGTGTTCTCTCTTTTATCACATTTCAAAGTAAAGATGCTCAACAAGTTGGATGTGGAATGTATCTAGTGGCATCATCAATTACTTCTCTTTTAACAATTATCATGTTCATAATCAAATTCTGGTTTGTTATTCTTACTCATATCAATGTGTACACTAGCGTGTCTGTTCTTCGTGGAGGTTGTATCTCTATTGAACCAATTCTAAAACTTTTTCTTTACTTGGATGGTTGGCTTAATGCTTGTGTTGCAGTTGAACGAGCAGTACTTATTTTTAAAGGAGTTAATTTTGATAAACAAAAGAGCAAATCTATTGCTCGACGAACAATTCTTATTTTACCATTCTGTATTTTCGGTACACTTATTCACGAGTTTGTCTTTCGCCGATTGTTCGAATACGAAACAGTACCAGATACGAGTAAGACTAATGAAGACACAATCAAACGATATGTATCATGCATTACTCGATATTCAACATCTGTCCAAGATTACAATATAGCCGTTCTATTTTTTCACCTTGTTGGTCCATTTATTGTCAATCTTTTCTCTGCATTGTTCATCATCTTTGGAGGTGCTCAACAACGATCAGTGGCACGAACTAATCAAAGCTTTAAAGAACATGTTAAAGAACAATTCAATGATCATAAACAATTGATCATTAGTCCAATAGTTTTGCTCATTTTATCAATACCTCGTCTCATCATTTCATTACTTCCTAGTTGTGTGAAAACATCTGAGAACTTGTGGTTGTATCTTGGAGCATATTTCATTTCTTTTACTCCTTCGATGCTGATCTTTCTTATATTTGTCTTTCCTTCAGAAATGTATATGAAAGCGTTTAAACAATCGTTCAATCGTACTCGACGGCGTATTCCTTCATAACCAGTGCATTCAGTTTCAATGACATGACTGTTGTAATGAATACAATAGACATTTCAATATTGTTTTGTCAAATTTTTTTTTTAAATCTAGTGTATAGTTGAAAATAAACATGTAAAACATCAAATGTTGTTCTTTTACAAAATATTTAGAAGAACTTAATCGATATAAGTTGAAAGAGCAGAAGAAAAACGAATTATAATAACGAAAAGAAAAACTATGATATGATCATATATGAAAGAAAAGAGGAGAATACTAGAAGAAAATACCATGTGACTATACATGTGGTTAATATAACAAAAGAATAATTTATTTGTTCGCTTACAAGTGGTATAGACGGAATTCTGATTCAAATAGTTTCCTTAAGGTAAGTTAGTCTTTCAAACTAAACTAAAAATGAGCAAAAAAGAATATTATATAATAACTATCTTGAGAATGAGAGTGATGATGATAACAGTATAAGACTGGATGGGAGATAAACACAACGATACAGTTGATTGAAGGAGAGATTAATATATCATCCATTTCAAGGGTAAAGTTATGAGTGTAAATGTATGTTTAATCTTCAACTTTGAAAAAACATAATCTTTTACTACTAAACAGGATTTTTATTATCATTAAGTTCTTTAATTTACATCTAGAAATTTATGTTCAAAGACATGGCAATGACAAACAATAAAACGCATTGCTTTACATGTAATAAAGATAAAATAACATATCCTTGTGAAGGGTGTTTGAAAAACTTTTGTTTGATGGATTTAACAAAACATCGTCAACTATTAAATGAAGAACTACACCATATTATTAATGATTATAATCAATTTAAACAAAGATTTAGTGAACAAAAACCAAATTCACATGATCTTTCTCTAATAAATCAAATTAATCAATGGGAAATAGATTCAATTATAAAAATTCAACAAAAAGCAAGAGATTGTAGAGAAACTGTCATTAAATGCTCACAAACATTTTTGAATGATATTGAAAAGAAGTTTAATGATTTAAATGAACAACTAAAACAAATTCACAATGAAAATGAATTTAATGAGATCAACTTAAACTATTTAAGAAATGAATTAATAAAAATTACAGAAGAATTAAATAATCCACCAAAGACTTCTATTATACAAGATTTTCAACTATTTATTAATGATGTTCCAATTATTCCATTAGATAAAAGTAAGTTTTTAATAAATAATTTCTAAAAGAAAAATTCTAATTGTCTATGAATATATATTAAAAAACTATAATACAAAGAAAAGTGAAAGATTAGAAAAATAAAATACAATTTGTCTCTTTATTAAATATATTTTATTTTCTAGAACCAAAATGGGATAAATGGAAACAAAATGCCATTACTGTAGCTTCTGAAAACGGACCAGGACAGAAGTTAAATCAATTCAATTGCCCTTATGGGATCTTTATTGATGAAAAGAAAAATATTTTCATTGCTGATTATCTGAATCATCGTATTGTTGAATGGAAATGTAATGCAAAGGAAGGAAAAGTTGTTGCAGGTGGCAATAAAGAAGGTAATCGAATAGACCAATTAAATCGTCCAACAGATGTGATTGTTGATCAACAAACTCATTCGATTATTATTGCTGATCAAGGAAACAGACGAGTGATTCAATGGCTGAATCAAAAGCAACAAATTCTCATTCACAATATTGACTGTTTTGGCTTAGCAATGGACAAACATGGATTTCTTTATGTTTCTAATTATAAGAAGAATGAAGTGAGACGATGGAAAATAAGTGAATACAACAATGAAGGAACTGTAGTTGCAGGTGGCAATGGGAAAGGAAATCAACTTAATCAACTCAATTCTCCAGGTTTTATTTTTGTTGATGAAGTTCAATCTGTTTATGTAGCCGGTAGAGATAATTATCGTGTGATGAAATGGAGAAAAGATGCAAAAGAAGGAACAATTGTGGCTGGAGGAAATCTGAATCAATTGTTCTACCCTCGAGGAATAACTGTTGATGATTTGGGTCAGATCTATGTAGCAGATTTTTGTAATCATCGAATAATGCGGTGGTGTGAAGGAAAAGAAGAAGGTGAAATTCTTGTTGGTGGAAATGGTCAAGGAAATCAATCAAATCAATTGAATGGTCCTTATGGTTTATCTTTTGATGATGAAGGAAATCTTTATGTTGCTGATAGTTTTAATCATCGAATTCAAAAATTTGAAATAATCTTGTAAATGAAATTTTGATTTTGAAAAAAAGATAAGAAGTTTTTTGTTAAATAAAAAATGAAATAAAACTTGAAAGAAGAGAATTTTTTGTTTTTTTTCTTTGAAATTGACAGTAAAAATCGAATTGAAATGAATATTGTTGAAGAGATTTTCGGATGAATGAAGAAAGAAAAATGAATAAAAGATTTGAGATAAAATCAAAAATTTACAAAAGTTTTGGTCAGAAGTTTAAAACTGATCTATAAAAACAAATTATTGAAGAAATAAAAAGAGTTTAGACAAGAATTATTATTAATGATGTGCATATAAAAATAACTGATAATAGTAAAATCGATCCTGATAAAATTGCAAGTAATGCTTGTGATAATAGTATTGGTTCAAATCCACCAGATGCTAATAATATAATGAAATATATCATCGATATAAATCGTTATTATATGGAATTAGTATTAAATGAAGTACAAATCAAATCCATAGATTAGAACGAATTATTTTTGATTGTGTTGATAAAGATATTGAAACTGTTGAAAAACATGATTGTCATGATACGCGACAAGCTTATCAAGACATCATGATAAATCTCCAACAGATTCTTTCACATTTTCGTTTATCACTAATACTTGAGATATCAACTGAAATAAAAGATCCAGATCAATCTAAGAAAAGTTTTAAACAATTATTATTAGATCGAACAAATATGTATCAGGAAATTGTGAAATGCAATAATATATTTGACACTGCAGCGACAGAATCATATATAAATCTAATAAAAACACGTCTTGGTTGTCAATCGAAATGTCCAGGTTGTGGAACAAAATGTGATAATCCTGAAATTAATCATACAAAACATAGTTCACGTCATTTAGGAGGTGCATTTTATGGTTAGAAACTTCGTGGAACAAATAAACCATGTTTATATTTATGTTATCAATTGTGGTTAACAAAACCTGTTTATATTGGTGAAACAAAATTTCATTCGAGACAAAAATATTTTTGAGAACGCACGCCAGAATGGTTTGATGATTTAGAACAGAAATCAAAAACAGGTGATTTATATAACGATTCTAAACTACCACCAGAGCAAAGACGAGCTTGGATGGCAGTGCGACATACTTTAACTGAACGCTACTCAACAAAATGGATGGAAGGTCTCGAAAAGTATGATGAAAACTGTGATCATGCTATTGAAAGTGTATCTGCTGATTTTGAGCCAGAATGGAATTACAGTCAATCATAACGTATTTACACTCCTCTTAAAAACGATGATGTAGTTTTCAAAAAAATAGCATGTGATTATTTTAATGTCATTTCAGTTAGAAGAAAATAAACATTTTATTATTGATTTATAAAAACATATTAACATGTTTTTATTTAAAGCGAAGGATCCGAATCCGAAGTGTGAGTGAGGATGAATGTGAGTGTGAATGAAGAACGGATACTCACACTCACACCCGACTTTGATTATGCTTGGATAGAACTTTTGCTACTAACTGATATATTATTTCAAATCTGTCACTGGGTAGAATTTCTATCTCTTTAATATTAGTGAGTAAATAAACCGAAGCCGTATTTTACAATATAGTTCATACCATTTTACCATTACCTTCGAAAAAACTCGTATTATCTCCTAAAATAAAGTTCAATTTTTAATTGAGAACTATCTGTCAAACAGTGGCTTCAGTTCAGTTACTCACTTAGGATAAAGAGAGAGAAATTCTATCTTATTAACATAATTGTGATGATAACTTATATTAACCACGGTTAAATGTTATAACCAAGGTTGAAAGTTATAACTACGGTTGTAATCATTTTAACTTTTCAAAATTTCATTTTAACTCCCACTCTGATTTTTATTTCATGCTTATTAAATAATATAATCATAACGAACGATATTGCCTGAAACTTCACAAAATGTGATATTGATTTTTGGCAGTTTACACTCACAAATTCGTATTAAAAGATCACCCTATAATAGAAGACCCCTTTAAAAGTTTGATCCGCAAAAAATAATAGTAGACCAGGGGGTCTTTTATTACAGAGGGGGGTTTATTTCAATCTTTAATATCTACGAAAAATAAATCATTCTTATAATAAACCTATAAGAAATAACGAAAGAAAAAAAAATGAAAATTTTAGTGTAAGTAGGAGTTGATTGAAAAGCGATGGTTTACATTAGTTTCTTTTTCGTTCTATCATATTAGCGCGTTGTCTACAAGAGATAAAATCTTACCTCCTATTAACGACGTGCTAACGGGACAGAATAAAAAAAGTGACTAGTATACGTTAACAAATAATTACTTTTTTTTCTTATTTGAATAGAATAATTTTTTCTAGTTTTTCAACGAAATAATTTCTCAGACATATAATTGTATTGATCTAAATCTTTGTTAATCTTATATATTTTTGATTGAAAAAAACGAACAAATCTTTTGAAAAGAGTAACATTTAATATTCTAAATTTACTAAATAAAGTTATTTTGAGATTAGATCATCGTGAAGAATACGATTCAATGTAATAACATAAAGACTACTTTTAGTTTTAATTGAATCATAACAAATGAAATGTGTAATACTTTTTATCTTATTTTCTACCAAATTATACTTTATATGTTAGGAAATAATTGAACAGGACGTTTTGCTTTCGATCTATATATGTCATCTTAAGTATCTCGATTGAAAAACGCGTTCTTTATATTGAGTTCAAATATTTAATATGAAAATAAATCATTGCAAAAAAAGACACAGAAATGAGTTAAGAGAATAGAATGTATATGTATACATTTAAAAAGTAAAGGAAGTATACTGATAATTTATTATCAGTCGAAAAATGTCTTATGTTAATCTTGTTGATCAATGAATAGATATTTAAAAGAAACGTTTTTATTGAAAGTATAATAGAATTTTGTTTGTAAATAAAATTTTAGTTGAACATTTTTCTTATTTAAATCATTTCATTCAAATCTTAACATATAAAATTCAATGAATTTCATAGTTATTTAAATATTCTAAACTTGAAAATTTCGTCTACTTAAAATAAAACATATTCATCTATGATAAATGTCAATTAACAAATAATATTTTTTTAAAATTTTTATGAAGTCTTTCTCAGGGGTGGGACAGTTCCATATTAGTCCCGTTCTTAGGAACTAGTTAATAGTTCTTTTGACAGGAACTGAACTGAACCAACGGTTCAGTTCTATTCAAAGAACTGTTAGTACAGTTCAGTTCCTTTCAAAAGAACTAAACTGGCAGTTCTTTTGACCAGTTCATCTGAACTTGGAACTATGAACTGTCTTACCCCTAGTCTTTCTACGTATTTACTTTCTAGAATGGTAATTAATTAATCATAGGAATCAAGAAAATTATTTTAAAACAACAAAATAAAATCTCGAATAAAATAAATAAAAATATTTCATTTGTTTATTTATCAAAAGATTGCCACTATTAGAACAAGAAAAATTTTAAGTCAATCAGCAGACATAAACTAAAAACAACGGAAACTTCGAATAAAATATCATTAATAAATTATCATACCGTTATATTATTTTATTTTATTTGATTTTAAATGAATATCTCTAATATATCCTTATAAATCATGAAGAAATAAATAATTTGTTTTTTATAATCGTTTTCGAAAAATAATTCTAAATTGAGTTATTTTAATTTAAATACAAACAAAAATGTCATCCAATATTTTTTTATGATTAAAGAAAAGTAATCAAAAATTCGTTTAGACCGTTACTGTAGTTCTATCACAATATTAATATAAAATCTAATTATAAAATAAATAAAATATTTATTAAATCTATTATACTCTTCATTGACAACAATTTCAATATAAAACACAAGAATTAAAATAGATATTTTTTAAAATTCTATCATCTATAAGAGACATTTCGAATCTAAAATCTATTTATGATTGAAATCAATAGATATGTTCTTATTAAATTTTCATAATAGTTAAATATTTCTACCTCAATCAGATGAGTCGTATATTATTTAATGGGAAAAAAAATCAAAAAAGCAAATGCTTGATCAAGTAATAATCGCCCGTTTCTTTTCTTTCACTTTCGTAATATAAGGACATAACTACTATACTTTATCTATTGGGTTCAATCCAGTGTATTTTTTCTTGTCTATTATTACTTTTTCATTTATGTTATTTATCCTTGAAATATTATTGCAAAAATCAAAAAGTATGTGACAAGATAAAACAATGATCGATGATGGATATTCTTTCATTTGTATTTTGCTTTCATTTTTCATCTATCCTATTGAGTTTGATTTTGTTTTTTCTTTTCTTTTATTTCTATTCATTATCAATGGACAATAATGAAAACAAATATTTTTTTATGTAAAATAAAGAGATATGTTGACGTAGGTGATATCTATAAATATATTTCTATATGAAAAAGTTCAAATAAAATGTAATACATTTCAAAGTTAAAAATCAATTCTTACAATTATATAAGAATTCACACATACTTTTTTTTTGTTCTATTACATATGAGATTCATAGGATATATACATTTCTTACTTCATAATATACACAAATCGTTTTAATATCAAAATTAATAATTGATTATGACATGATTAGAAACGCATTTAGTTCGATGTTCATCTTATAATATAATCGAAAAAGATTTTAACTTGAAAAATCTTTGGTAAAAATTTATAAGATCTAGAAAAAAACATGAAAATCTAAGTATTTAAATGTTAACTGAAAAACTACACTAGATACATTTTAATCAAATCAAGTTAATTGATGGTATCAATTGATTTTTAAAGGAATATCATAAATGTTTCATATCTAAAAGAAACATCTTTAAAGAAATAATTATATATTTTATCGTCAAAAACAAAAAAATCACAGTATAAACTGTGCAATACTACTAGTTAATATTAGGATGGTACAACTATTTAAATTAACATAAATAATACAACTAAATTTATTTGAAATACTTTTCTATCTCTATTCTTGATTCATATTAATTTTATACTCTTTTTTTTCTTCAATACACCTTTTCATACATTTATATGTGTTTTTTCCACATGATTAAACACAGATATATCGTTCTCATATTCTTCAATCGTATGTTAATATCATAAGTAACGCTCGTTAGAGGACTCGCTTAGCTCTTTCTCATAGAAATGTATCCTCTTTACATTTACTGGAAAAACAATCGAAACTCGTAAAAAAATCGGTATTCGATGTTCTTTTGATGTCTCTCTCCCCTCATTATGGTCGCCCAACAGACCTCAGATTTGAAGTCCCCGTATCGAAAAGCCTCTAGAAATGTCTTTTTCGAAAAATCAGTTTTCGATGTTTTTTTGACCCTGCGGACAGACAAGCAATCAATCAAACAACTTATTCTTGAAAGACTCTTCCCTACGAGAAAGAGAATATTCATACAGGTTGTGGTTAGTATAAGTAGTATATTCTCTTTCTCGTAGGGAAGAGTTCAGTAAATATAAATTGTCTGATTGCTTGTCTGTTCGCAGGGTCAAAAAGACATCGACAAATCTATTTTTCACGATTTTTAATTGTTTTTTCAGTAAATGTGGGGAGGATGCATTTCTACGAGAAAGAGCTAAGCGAGTCCTCGGATGAGCGTTACTTGTGTTTAATGGATGTTTATTCGCTCAAGGTCACCAATATATACCATAGAATATAGTAACGAGTATGGTGATGAAAATATTTAATGTTATCAAATAAATATGATTATTTTCTAATTTTTTCCTCGATTATGTTTACTGATTGTATTATGGTTCATTCGAGATCAGCATACGCTAAAGAACCCAACGATAATCATAATGAAAATAAACAACGGTTTGAAATAAATGAAAATATTGTTATTTTATTTATTTATTTGATTCATTTAGTATACTTTGCTTTACTTCAACTTCAAATCATCATATATTAAAAGGCACAGAAATGGTTATTATCATATAAATACTCAATGGTATTAAGTCAATCAGATATTTCAAAGAATCAAGCAATTCTCATTATGGTAAGAACAGTTTCTTGTGAAAAAAAGCAGGATATTATTTT